AAATACTAATCCTACAAGCGGAAAATCGATTGAATCGATTGTTTACAAATCACTTATTTTGCATTAATTAAATGCTAATGATAATTTATAAATTAATAAACAATGTTCATATAAAATATTATATTTTAATCGTCGCAGGTGCGGCTTCTGGCATTAGTCCCAAACAAATATGGTGGTCATCCAATGCTTACAATTTTGTGGTATCTATGGAAGGACAAACGTCAAATCAAATATGTCAATTTGACAGTTCAGTGACAATTTCCTTCTAAAATGAAATAAATCGTTTAAATATTTAAATATTGTTTCAAATTATGCTGCCGAGAAAATATTAGATGAATATATTATTTATAAATTTATCATGTATTTTTGGACATAAAATTACAACTATTATGCATTAATTAGAAATTCTTGTTAACAGTGTTTTTGTGACTCCAAAATTCTAAAAATATATAATTTGGGATTTTTTTATATTAATAAATTAAATTCAAGATTTATATCTACAAATGCTAGGTTTATTACTATTCATTATTTTTTTTACCCCCTGTAAATCTTCCTCATATTTTTCAAATCCCACATATAGTTTTGCCTAATAAATTATTGCAACTTTCACAACCCAATCTTGACGAATTTGTGCTGAAACTGATACAACGTTTTTGATGATGTGGATATATTATAACCCGTATCATTTCGCAATTCATCAGTACCTACTTCTAGTAAAACATGACGCGAAATTTATTAAAATTTATACCTCTAAATAATTGGCTTCGTGGCTATTCTAAACCAAAGGCTATTTCTGATTTCATAGCTGGTGTAACTGTTGGTTTAACAGTTCTTCCTCAGAGTTTGGCTTACGCGACTTTAGCTGGGCTGGAACCACAGGTAATAATACAATAAATATATATGTAGAAAATATTGTAAATTAAAGCATGATTATTCAAAATAACAGTAAGAAAACTAGTCTTTTTTGAGCAAAATATATTTTATTAAATATTTTTTATGTGTGATATGTAATATTCAGAAAGTACAATAGAGTGCTTTGAACTATCTGATAAATATTTGTAACCGTATCCTAACATGAATGAATCCTTGATATGAAAATATTGGTATAGCTTATATCACAGTAACAAAGAAATAAATATGATAATACTTAGAATACTAAATATATATGTTATAATTAATAAATAAATAGAAAACAACTGAGCTAATTAGATTTTCTTAATGCTCAAACATTGCATGTTATGATACTCTAAAAACAATTCTTTATTACAATTAATTTATTTTATAACTTTTAATTCTATTTATGAACAATTATATGTATGTTCTAAACATAATTTTGTACCAGATTCATTTCATTTCAATTTCAATTAATTCTCATTTAGTTTTTTAACCATTTTTCAAGGTTTTATACAACTGATTTTATTATTTATTACAAGTACACGACACGAGATCAAATTTCATTCATATTAATTTAGCCAATAATACACAAATCAATAGAATTGGATCGATAGTAAATAAATTCTACTTTGATACAATTTGATATATAATACATAAAGATTTTCATATTGCAAAGGATTCAAAAGTTACAAAATTGTAAACCTATTTTTTTTCTGAGCTAACTTATTTTGGAATTAATTATTGGTACTAAAATATTACTCCAAGTCTTCGAATAGTTTTACATTTATTACCAATGAAATAAAAAATAATTTATTATCGATAAAATTTTACAAAATTTATTGATATATATTTAATTAAAAACCGCAATATCCATAAAATTAAAAATTCATTTATTTTTTATTCAACTCTACTGAATTTCGTAGATACTTCTTGTACAATAAATAAAATGCTGTAAAGCTATATTTAATTTAATTGTAAAAAACTGTTTATAGTAAATGATTTAATAGTTTTTATTTTGATAATATAATTTCTAACAATGACCACATTTTATATTTAGAAAGAATGTTCTATCAAGAATTTAATTTGCATGCAAGGACGATAAATAAAAACAATTCGTTACAATAAATAAAAATAATTTATATTAGATTAAAATGAAAATATCCGTAAATTCAGCATTGGTATTGATAACGATATGAATTTTTGCCATGTTTTGTTTTCGAAATTAAATAAATTTGATTTAAAATTTGAAGTTGGAATTGACCTGATTTAAAAAAACGATTTCTTAGGAATAATTTTGCCCGGCCAGCTAGTATATATATAATTATTTATGTTTTACTAATTTTTTTAAACAAGATGTATATGGCATATTTCGACCAGTTTTAGAATTTCTAAAATCGGTTAAGGATTTTTGACTAAAACTTTTGACTTTTGAATAAAAGAGATTTTCTTAGAAATAATTTTGCCGGACCAGCTAGTATATATATATATATATATATATATACATATATTCAATGAATTTAATAAACAGATTCATTAATTTATCGCATTTTATAATAATTATTTTATAACTAAATTCTTTTGATTCAATTAATAAAATACTGAACATAAAATATTTTGAATCAGAATCTTATTAGAACCATATAAGAATCATATAAAAATTTCATCATATGCTCGATTTAATAAACAGATTAAATAATTAATCGAATTTGATAATGTAAAAATCAATACTATCATGATAATGTAGACTAATTTTTCTCATATATAAACATTAAATATTTGTAAATTTTGTAGTACTAAAATGGATTGAATTATTCAAATTGAATTAGTTTTAAATTTTTCATTACTAATAGTATAAGTCGAATTATTTAAATTAAATTATTTATAATTCATTTATTACTTTAAATTATTTAAATTATATTATTCATAAATCATTTATTATTACCAGTATGGCTTATACTCTGCATATATAAAAATTGAATTTTTGTGAATTATTTAGTACTAAATTGAATGGCTTGAATTATTTAAATTTAATTATTATTGAATTTTTCATTACTAATAATATAAGTCAAATTATTTAAATAAAATTATTTATGAAATATTTATTATATTTAATTATTTAAATTAATCTATTTATAGAACATTTATTATTACCAGTATGGCTCATACATATAAAAAAATTAAATTTTGTTGAATTTTTCAGTACTAAAATTGATGGAATAGTATAGGTCGAATTATATTAATAAAATTATCTTTGATTATATTATTTTGAATTTTTAAATTGTATCATTTATAAATCATTTATTACCAGTATGGCTTGTACTCGGCCTTCATGGGGTGCTTCGTCTACGCCCTTTTGGGTGGCTGTCGACAAGTTACAATCGGCCCGACGGCACTGCTCTCTCTGATGACTGCCAAATATACTGCTCAAGCAGCAGGAATAGAATTAGCTGTTTTGCTGTGCTTTTTATCTGGCTGCGTCCAATCGCTGATGGCAATCTTTCGAATGGGTAAAAAAATTCACGAATGTTATATGAAAGAAATAGAAAATTCGGGACATTTTTTTTGGTTTTTGTCAAATAACTCACTAATATCATATTAAAGCATCCCTTTTCAGTTAGATAAGGAGAAACTAGATAAAATTTACTACGATTGCATGCCAACATTTATATACACGCCGATATAAAAGTTTGGAGTAAAACGACTTTGAATTCGATCTAGAAACTAATTCGAAACAATCAGAGGCTAGTTTCTCCCTATCATTGTAATTGATTATAAATTTAAATTTATATAAGGTTGTCAAATATCTCCCTTCCGCCTTTTTGTATTATAAACCAAGAGCAATAAAAAGCGAAAGGGAGATATTTGATAACCTAATATGTGAAGTTTTATACAGACATTCATATAAAAGACTAATTTTATTTATATATATGGATATTTAGAATTTTTACCATTTCTAAATTAAGTTTTTTTACCATTTTTGTATGATTTTTTCAGGATCTCTGGTTGATATAATATCCTTACCAATAAGTATTGGTTTTACTTCAGCGACTGCTGTAATAATAGCAACGTCCCAAATAAAATCCTTGCTAGGCTTAAAATATCCTCGAGGAAGTGGTGATAATTTTGGAAAAACACTAGTTAATATTTATAACAATTTGCCTAATACTCAACTTGGAGATAGTTTACTAGGGTTATCTAGTATACTCCTACTACTACTATTGAGGGTAAAATCACCTAATACATAATTTTATATTACACTTGTTTAATAATAGGTTGTCAAATATCTCCCTTCCGCCTTTTTGTATTATAAACCAAGAGCAAAAAAGCGGAAGGAAGATATTTGACAACCTAATATATTTTTTATTTTTTTAGAAATTCAAAGATTACAGAAGTACATCTACTAGATCCAAAGTGTACAAACAATTTCGTACTTTATTATGGCTTATAGCAACTGCAAGAAATGCTATAATAGTCTTATTAGGAGTCGTAATTGCATACAGTTTTGAAAAATATACTTCAACAATACCATTTCAAGTCACGGGATCAGTAAAGTTTGTATCAACTTAAAATAAAATTAAATACAGGGTATCTCAGAACTCAACGTTGAAGTGATGTAAGCGTAATGCACTAGCACAAGTTATGTTTTTATTAATTTACTCGATTTTTTTATTATACAACCATCAAGTGTTTTTACTATTTTGTAATTCTGATGTAATACGCTAACTTTTCACGAAACTTGCCAACACACTTTAGAATAATTTTTTTAAAGAAGCCTCTGAAAGTCGGAGAATTCTAAAAATTTTAAATATTTAGTTCAAGAAAAAGTGGTAATTTTGAAAACTTGGGGTAAATTTGTCATTATTTTTTAATGTGGTCTTAGAAATATTATGTACTATGACGGTTCCAAAGTTTAAATGAATAAAATCGAAGAAAATTAACCGCAATAACCGAAAAATAGAGACAATTTCACCAAAGCTCTAGGTTGCACTTAAAAGCTCATAATTTTCAAACTAGATAAGTTATAGTAATCGCAAAAAAAAAATCAAAATGGATTGTTTTATGTATTTTTACGTTTCAAAGGTTTCTGAACATTTTGACATATCGCAGAAAAAATGTATGTATGTGTGTGTGTATATGCGCACGTGTGTGTTTGTACGTGTGTGCGGATACAATTTTTGACATTTTTTCGTCATCGATTTTGAGAATACGGATCAACCGATTTGAATGGTTTTAACAACATTCGATTTATGTTGATAGGGAGATGTGCTAGTTAGTTTTTGTCAAAGGCAGATCCAGCCGTTTTGGAGATACGGAGCAAAGAGTGCAGAAAATTGAAATCGAGTTTTTGAAAGAACGGAGCATCCGTTCAGATTTGAATGATCTAAAAAAATATTCAATTTGTGTGAAAACTATTGAAAAATGTGAAAATGCCGCCAAGCTAAGCACGGTATAAGTGAAAATGTCACACAAAATTATTTGCAAATGCGTTTAGACTGTGACTATAAGGAGCTCTTTTTCAATTTGGTGTATAGTAGGCAACTATTTTTTTTTTGAAATTGAATTCGAAATGAAATGACGATTGTTAATGTTCTTGAGATAAATTGATTTATGATTTACATTTGATTTGCTCAGATATAACAAGATAGCAAAAATAATGAAAGTTACATTTGATAGAAAACATTTAATATTCCTCGAATATTTCATTACGGTACGGGAAGTTCCAGCAATTTGCCTTAAAGTACGATACCAAACACCACTAGTATTTTTGCATAATAACGCTCAATACTATCTATCACCCCGTTGACGTTGAGCTCTGGGACACAAATTAAGTATTTAATTTATTTTTTTACTTTTAATTGAATATTTAATTTATTTTATTTCTAGATCAGGGCTTCCATCAATCCACTTGCCTGCATTTTATGTCAATAAAGAATATTGTAACATTACTACATACAAAAATGTAGACGATGGCAATAATACGGACATATCACATCAACTTGTTTTCGAAACTTGTACAGATATAAAAAATAAATCTGTTGCTTCTTATAATGAAAGTATTATATACGAATCGAATTTAATAGAACTAAGTTTTAAAGATATGGTCGATATTCTTGGATCGTCGATTATTTTAGTACCTATTATAGCTGTTTTGGGAAACGTTGCTATATCAAAAGCGTTCGGTAAAAACATATATATACACAGGTGAAAAATTTCTATTACTATATCAATTATTTTTTTTAGGCGGTGCCAAATTAAATCCCTCAAGAGAACTTTTAGCTTTATCTTTAAGTAATATTTTTGGCTCATTTGTATCATCGATGCCAGTGACTGGATCTTTTTCAAGAAGTGCTGTTAATCATGCATCGGGAGTACAAACTCCTTTGGGAGGAGTTTATACAGGTTAATACTAAAAAAAAATAATGTTTTGGTTGAATATTTAACTAACTTATATTTTTTTCGTAGGTCTTTTAGTATTATTAGCTATAGGTTTATTAACGCCGTATTTTCATTATATTCCCAAAAGTTCTCTATCGGCTGTGATAATATGCGCTGTGATCTTTATGATCGAATATGAGGTAAGAAATAAAAAATCAGATAAAAAAATAATTATATGGCATCATGCCTTAAGGCAAAATGCTGGAACTTCCCGTACCGTAATGAAGTATTCGAGAAATTTCAAATTATATTAAATATACTATTAAAAATACTGTAACTTTTATTATTCGCATTTTATATAACTGGATACAGAACATATAATTTTATATACAGGGTATCTCAGAACTCAACGTTTAACTCATACTGAGCGAAGTGCACTAGCAAAAATCATGTTTTTATTATTTTACTCGATTTTTTTATTAAAAAACTATCAAGTATTTTAACATTTTATAATCCTGATGAAACTTGACAACACTCTTTGGTACTTTTTTTGGCTAAAAATTGATGAATTTTAAATGTTTTAAAAATATATTATTATAATTACTGTAACTTTCATTATTCGTATTTTATAGACGAAATATAAGAGGTTATAAATTGGATGACGAAGTTTATATATGTTTATAGGAAAGGTAAATACTTATAAAAAGAAAAATAAATACAAACTTGATCAAGCGGAGTTAGAATGAAAGACCTTATCTCATATTTTTAAGAATTATATAAACTGAATTGCAAAGTTAAAATTATTTATTTGAAGTATATAAGTGAGCTTTAGAATTTTACCAAAAATTAAAATAAAATCCGGATTATTTTTTATATCAAAAAAATATTTTATAAAAATTGAAAAAAAATTTGAAATGTTGAACTAATTTTTTTTTGCTTTACCCCAAAATCAAATAATTTCTTTACACTATCAAATTGAGCAAAATATTTTTTGAATCATTCAAATCGGATGCTTCGTTCTCTCAAAATCTACCATTTTTTTGTACATTTTTTTCCGTATCTCCGAAACGGCTAGACCTGTCTTTGCCAAAAACTAATCACGACTTCTCATAATTACTAATCGAATGTTTTCAAAAACTACAATTGTTTGCACATTTAGCTCCGTATTTCCGAAACGGCTAGGCCTGCCTTTGCCAAAAACTAATAACCTTTTCACCCCATCATTACGAATCGAATGTTTTTTGAATCATTCAAGTCAGACGCTCCGTTCTCTCAAAAACTTAAAATCTATTTTTACACTCTTTGCTTCGTATATCCGAAACGGCTGGATCTGCCTTCGCCAAAAACTAATTAACACATCTCCTGATCAATACGAATCGAATTATTCAAATCGGTTGATCCGTGTTTCCGAAATCGGGGAGGAAAATTTGTATCCGCACACATACACACATACACACATACACACATAAATATAGATTTATTCTAAGGTGTGCCAAAGTGTTCAGAAACTTTTAAAACGTGAAGATAGGCAAAAAAACTATTTTTGATTTTTGAACGATTTCCATAACTTATCTTACCACACACACACACACACACACATATACATACAGTTTTTCTAAGATGCTCCAAAATGTTCAGAAGGCTATGCAAAAAAAATATTTTGGATTTTTGGACGATTACTGTAATTTACCCTAAGGGAACTTAATAAAAAATCTAATAAAAAATAATTTAAATTTATACTAAAAATCTATAAAAAATCTATTAGTAAATTTAGTAGTATTAGTAAATTTAGTTTAACAATCTATAAAAATTAATTTAGGTTTTTTATTTATCAAATTTTTAGGTAGTTAGGCCCTTATGGCGTTGCAGCCGAAGAGAATTATTCGGTTGTGTGAAAACATTTGTACTTAGTCTTGTATTCAGTGTCGAAATTGGACTCTTAGTCGGAGTTTCATGGGATTTATTATATGTCGTTTATAAAGCAGCCAGACCTGATTTGCCGATTACAAAAGTCACAGTAAGTAAAAATAATTACTTAATTCTAATTTGCATGGTTAAAATTTTTACATAAAATTTTTAAAAAAATTAAAATTTTAGTTTATTTTTCATTTCTAGACAGATTCGGGCATCGAGTTCTTAATTTTAAAACCAGGCCATGGTTTATTATATTTTCCAGCAGTCGATTTTCTACGAGATGCTATTAGAAAAGCTGCCAACGAAAAAGGTGTTCCTGTAATAATCGATTGCAATAATTTACAAGGTATATAGTATTAAATATGTTTGCAATTTCTAGTATCTAGATTTTATATAAATTATATAATTTTTTCTAGATATTGATTTCACTGCGGCAAGAGGCATTGTTACTTTATCCAAAGAACTCAATGGAAGACTAATTTTAATGAACGCCAGTGAAAAAGTTTTGAAAGTAATAGAAGATGCAAATAGTGCAAAAGTTCCCATTAAAAATGTTTTGAACGAAACGGAGTTAAATATTATTTTAGAAGGTATGCTGAAATTTGAGTATAATATGTTACTAAATTAAATAAATATTAATTTTGTTTCAGACAATCATACATTTCCAATTGCAACCGAGTTGAGGGATGTCCGAAAACCGTTGTTGAAATTACAGAAATAACTTGGGATAAATAATTTATAAATTGTACCTTTATGTATTATTATGAATAAATTTAATATATTTATGTTTAATTTTTACTTTAAAATTGATCAAAATCTATATAAAATATATATTAAACAATGAATGTTTAATATATATTTGTATCCCAGAATTCAACGTCAAACCGAAATCGAAAATAATAACTAATATGAAAATAAATAAATAAATTGCTGATATTTCCCGTACCGTAATTTAAAATTCTTAAAAACTCAGAAATAAAAAATTGTTTTTTTGAGAATTTAGAATTTTTTAGAACACTTTTGAATTTGAAAACATTCTAAAAATTTGATTTTATATTTTGAAAACTTGAAATTTTATGAAAACTGATTTTTTTTTGATTTTTGAACTAATAGTGCATGGCATCGTGCCTTAAGGCAAATTGCTGGAACTTCCCGTACCGCAATTTAAAATTTAAAAAAATTCAGAAATGAAAAATTGTTTTTTTTGAGAATTTAGAATTTTTTAGAATATTTTTAAAATTTGAAAACATTTTAAAAATTTGAATATCAAAAAATACCTTTTTAGAGAATATTTATGTATCTTGAAAACTTGGAAATTTTATGAAAAACGATTTTTTTTGATTTTTTGAAATTTTATGAAAACTGTTTTTTTTGATAATTTTGTATATTTTGAAAGATTTGTGAGTTTTTTATACCCATTCATGTCAGTTAATCCATACTGTCTAAAATACCGAATTTTTGACCGCCAATTGGCATTTTTCAATAGAAATCAGCACATCTCCCTATCAATACAAATCAAATGTTTTTTGAATCATGCAAATCGGTTGAGCGGTGCTTACGTAAACGTGGACAAAAAATTGTATCCACACATACACATAGATATAACATTTTTTTAAGGTATGCCAAAATGTTCAGAAACCTCTGAAACGTAAAGGTATGCAAAAATTTTCATTTTCGATTTTGGACGATTATTATAACGAAAAATGGTTAGTTTGACCTAGGTTTTAATTGAATTCTCAAAATTTTTAAACTGTACTTATAATTTTTTTCAACTGTATCAAAGTATGCACATCGTCGTATTTTGTCACAAATGCAATTCGCATAACAATATAAATTTAATTAGAATATCTTTGCTAATCGTTCCAATGTTTAAGAATTTGTGATCATTACCAAGTCTGTTAAATCACTCGCAATTATTACCAAGTCAAATATTTATAAACGATGTCAAGTTTTTATAAAAAATTATCCAGAAAAACCGCCAAAGTAAAAGTTTTCGAAACAGTTCGTCGAAAAAGTTTGCAATGGTTTCACGAAGCAACTGATCGCATATCAAGTAAATTAAGCAAAGTGTCTTCTATGTACCAAAGAAACGGTCAAAGACGTGGAACACTAAAAAAATCTAAAAGATTTTCTTACAAAGATGAATGTTTAGACGAATGTGATCACAAATTTATATTGAAAGATAATTTTGAAAGGGTTCCAAATATCCCTAAAGAACCGCCGAGGCCGCAATATCATCGCAAATTACCATGTCGATGGGAATGGGAAAATGGGTTGGAATCTATACGACATATTTATACGGATCCAAAAGCTTTGTCTTTGATTGAAAATCAGATAAATAAAAATACTAAAACTACTGTTTGCGAAGCAGAAGTCCATGAACCGGTTAAAAATTTATACAAAGGATCTTTGAATGTGAAACAAAATGCGAATCGGACTTCTGATTTAGAAGAAGAGTTGAAATATGGACGGAATCAGCGAGCAAGTTTTTATGTTTAGGTGGAAAATTTATAATTGAATATAAAAATTATTTGGTGTTAAATAAATTTGTTTCTTAAATATATGTATGTATTTTATCTTGGTATCACTAATGTAAATAAATTATAATGTCCGAAATAAAAATTAAAAGTTATTTGAAGAAAAGCTAAAAATGTTTTAAATCAGAATACTAAAGTCCCCCATTTCAGCTACGATTTACTCAAAATTTTAATATCCAAGTGTATATAACAGTTTTCACGAGAATTTAGTTATCTAGATTTTACTGATGTAAAAAAATTATAATGTCCGAAATGAAAATTAAAAGTTATTTGAAGAAAAGTAAAAAAGTGTCCTAAATTCACATATTGTTAATTATAAGAATACTAAAGAAAGCATTTTAGCTACGAATTATTCAAAATTTCAATATCCAAGAGTATATAACAGTTTTCATGAATTATAAGTAAATTTTATTTAGTTTTTATTAATGTAAAAAAATTATGATGTCCAGAATAAAACTTAAGAGTTATTTGAAGAAAAGTAAAATAAGTCCTTATATAGCAGAATATGGTAATAGTATTGTCCGCATTTAACTACGTTTTTTTTCAAAATTTTAATATCAAAGAGTAAATAACTGTTTTTATGAGATATAAGAAAATTTTATCTAGATTTTATTGATGTCAAAAAATAATAATGTAAGCAAATTATGGAATTACTAGAGTTATAATTTAAACTACAAATTATTCAAAATTTTAATATCCAAGTACATATAACAGCCTTTACTTGATTTTAGTAAATTTTATTTAGTTTCTATTAATATAAACAAATAATTAGGGCCAGAATAAAAAAATTAAGAGTTATTTGAAGAAAAGTAGAAAAAGTCCATATATAGTAAATTTTGAAAATACTGAAGACATTTCAACTACGAATTATTCAAAATTTCAATATCCAAGTGTATATAACTACTTTCACTAGATTTTGATAAATTTTATCTAGTTTCTACTGATGTATAATATATAACACTAACCGGCCTGGGCAAAACTTTCAAGGTATTTAAATAAAAATGCAAAAGAATGTCCCAGATTTACATATTTCTGAATATATTAGCAGAAAAATGTTTCAACAAATGTTTGCATTATTATGCATTATTATTAGGTTGTCAAATATCTCCCTTCTGCCTTTTTGTATTATAAACCAAGAGCAAAAAAGCGGAAGGGAGATATTTGACAACCTAATATTATTCATAATTTTATTATGCAAGTGTATACAACAGTTTTTACTATATTTTAGTAAATTTTATATAATTTTTACTAATGTATAAAAATTAAAATACTTAGAATGAAAATTTTAAGTCGTTTGAAGAAATAATAATATTGCTAATTACCAAAATACTAAAATACTAAAATAAATGAAAAAAATCTAAATCAATTGAATCTAAACAAAAACTATCACAAGACACTTTCAGTATATTACGCCTAGAACTATCAAAACTCTTAAAATTTTAAGTTAACTATTGAAATTTTTATTTTAAAGTTCAAATTTCTTATGAGTTTCCAATAAGAATCACCTTGCACTAGCCATCACGATCAATTGGATTGTAGTAAATTAGATTTCTATTATTAAAAATAAAATTCCATAAATGCGTACAACACAATAGTGTTTTTCAATAACTCATAACATAATTTACTGCTTTATTTAAATATTAACATCCACTGGATATTATTTTTTACCATAATTGACTTTGATGTAAAGCGATTACTGTTTTGACACATTTCATGAGGGCTTACATTGCGCAGTTTGAATAATAATGCATTTTTCAAATCCTGTGGGATTTTGTAATTTCACATAAATATAAGGGAAGGAATCGGGTAGTAAAGATTCAGTTCTTACAAGATAACAGAACCGTCGAGGAATAAAATAGCCAGGCCAAAGAAAACAGCACAAGGTGCATCTAATTTGCGTAAGTAATATAAAAACATATTTTAATTTATTTAGCGGAAAGTGCAAAATTTTCCGTCCACGTTTGGAATATTAAAAATAAATTTTACGACGAATTTGATGGAACTTTATATATTGATAGATTTCGTAGTCTGAAACAACATACTAAAATATTAGGTTGTCAAATATCTCCCTTCCGCTTTTTTGCTCTTGGTTTATAATACAAAAAGGCGGAAGGGAGATATTTGACAACCTAATATTATAGGTCTATGATAAGCTGTTGAATTATAAAATATTTCTTTTATTAGGATGCATATCAATACCCATCTACCATTGCTGTCAACTCTGTTAATTTTGTCCATGATGCTCTGGTCATTTTCTGATGCAACTTCTGAAGCTGGTTCAGTAGAAAATGCAGTACCAGGACATAGAACCAGGCCGAGAACGATATCGTTATTTTACGGAATTGGAAGGCGATTTCCGAGGCCCAATGACCAGGAATTCCTTGACGAGGAGCTGGATATTTCTGGATCAAATCGAGCAAGAGGTAGGAAAAAAAATTTGTAATACATAATACACTATTAGAATATTAGTAGAACCGGTCTTGATTATTTTTAGCTCTTTCATTCAAAGATTCTAAACTCTAATTTCGTTTACATTTTGAATTGCATTGAATTTTTGAATTGAAAAATTTAACTAATAATTTTTGTTTAGATTTAATAGATTAAATTTTTTGTCATTTATTTTAGCATTTATGTATTTATTACATTTAGACATTTGTGTAGGTAGTTCTTTTACATTTTTTACAACTTGTCAACATTATGATTCCAAATATTTCAATTTATATATATTAATAAAAACTTGATAAAATTTACTAAAATCTTGCAAAATTTGTTACACATACTCAGATATTAAAAGTTTATAAAAATATTTAGATAAAAAAAATTATAATTCGTAGTTGAAATGTAGACTTTAGTATTTTACAAATATGTAATATTTGATTTTAGGACATTTTTCTTGATTTTGTCAATTAACTCAAGAAATTTATTCCGCACATTATAACTTGTTTGCATTAAAAACAAGTAAAAACTAGATAAAATTTACTAAAATCTTGTAAAAACTGTTATATACAACTATATATTAAAATTTCGAATAATTCGGAACTGAAATACGGACTTGTGAATTTTTCTATTTCAAATAACTCGAAAATTTTATTCCGTACATCATAATTTGTTTGCATTAGTAAAAACTACATAAAATTGACTAAAATCTAGTAAAAACTCTTATATACACTTGTATATTGAAATT